TAGGATGAGCAACATAGATACCAGTAACATCTTACCATTAAACCCAGCCCACTTAATTAACCTTGGTGAGGAGAACCATACAGCAGAATCAAGTACTTAACATAGGGTGAGCAGCACAGCTTCCGCTCTCACACACGATCGATGATACCTTTTGTAATGTAAAATTGATTTAGATTTTTAACATATTTCTCCAGAGACTGGGTGCACATCCTTATTAATCAACACAATGTTAAAGAATATTACTTTATACGTGTTCTTAACACAGTTCTTGAAACTCTGCTAAAGGAATGTCACTAGTAATGTAATCACTGTGAATATTCCTCTTTTCAATGAAATGTAGCTTGAATAGAAATTGGAGTAATTTGAATTAGTTCTTATTATCTACCTTGGTAGTATGTGATTGTTTTGGAAAAAGCAAATTAGGCTAAAAATATAGCATCTGGCACTGGTGTAAAAACTATAGGAGGGATTTGATTCTTTGCAATAACAATATAATGAAAAAAGAACGCATTTTCCTTATTTTTCGATGACCTATTTCAATTGGATCAGGGACAGAAACAGAATTCTCCGTGTATCTGATTGTCCATTTTTAATGCCGTCGTTGGGATAAATTTTCGAAATATTCATCAATATTGCCGTTGCCTTTGTAATATGAATCCATGATTTCAAATTAATTATATTCTCAATCGAACTGGACTACATTCCAACCTCGAACTGGAGAAGGAAAATTATTCTCCTGTTTTTTTATCGTTTTTCCACGTATAGAAAATTTCTTAAAGATTTATTTTCAAAATACTTTTCTCTTTTTATTTCCAATATATTCTCCTTAATAATCAGTTGATTTATTTGGTTCAGAGTGGTAGGATATCATTGCAGATATTTTTAACATCAATTTGCAGCTAATGAATATTTTCAGAATTTATAATCCCCTCACATTATGCAACTTTTCTGGAGTCTTACATTTCATAAGAAATCTTATCAATTAAGCATGTTTTCTCCTCACACGCTGCTTCGAATGACAGCAGCGGGAAAATAAACAACCCTTTATTAAGTTTAAGTACTTACAGTAGAATAGCTCCCATTTCTATAAGTGGACCAAGATTATAAACAAACTGAAATTGGAGTGCAGTGGATTAGGGTGATTGTTGGTCGATGGTACATTAAAAGCGAGAAAAGATAATTGCTGAGCGTGCGGAGGCTGAAAGAGACACAGGAATAGTGTTCATGATCAATGTAAGAAAAAACATCAACAATAAATTACTAGCAAACGTACAAAATACGAAAATTTTACATCAAGTTTGGAGATTTATACCTATTTTTCCAATTTGAATTTGTTCTAGACTTAAAAATGTCTTAGATTACCAGGTGCGCTGTACATGTACAGTAGACTCGTGTACTTGTGAGTCCGGTGCGACTATAGAGAAAATAATGCGGAAAAACAAAGCTGTCAGAAATATTGAGGATCTAATGTCAGGTTAGCCAAAAAAAAAAGACGATAGGTGCTCGATTAGTTAGCTATATTGGTACGTGCTGCGGCGGAATGGAGTTAGATGGCGAAAGGGAAACCCGTCTTGTTGTCTCTTTAAATGGCAATTGTTCAATATTTTCTAGAACTTTTCATACTGGTAACCAAACATCCTCCTGTGTGCTTTGCTGCATCTGTTGAAAAATGTGTGGTTCAACAAAGAAAAAACGAGATTAAAATTAGAGTATCCACATTTTTAACTTCAATTTTTCATATTAGAAGCAATAACATGATAAATTTTTCAGTCAGTTATGTTTTCTCTCTTAATATTCTACGCCGGGCACTTTTTCGAGCAGCATCGCTACCAGCAGGCAAAGGAAATTTATTTTAAAATCACTGGTGAATCGTAAATTATGGCAAATCAGTGGTGGTCACCATGAAAACGATCCGTAGAAAATCTTCACCACCATATGGGAAGGACTTATAATCACAGCAATTAAGAAGTAGGCAACTGTTTAGATGTGACTTTGGCAACGCTGTGAATGAAAGTCAGATAACCACAACGTTCGAAAAAAATTCTCGCTAATAACTTCACTTCTTCAACATGGTCATAACATAACACCAACCCAACCCATTTTAGGGATAAAGAGACCTCAAATATTTTAGATCTAGTGTTTGCCAGTGAAGAATCAATGCTAGATGACTTTCGCAACGAGGCTCCGTTGGGCAAAAGCCACCACCAATCATTGTTTTCAGGATTAAGTGCCATGCAGAAAAAACGCTTCGGAAGCGTGAACGTTTGAACTTTGCGAAAGGCGATTATGATAAACTCCGTGAAGCAGTGAATGCGGCGAATATTTCGGACTATATTAAGGACATTAATATGGCTGATTCATGGTCAAATTTCAAAGACTCGGTTATGTCTGCAGTTGATGCCTGTGTACCTAAGATTATGCTCGGTGGAGTCAAAAAGTCCCAGTACTCCAGTAGATGAACAGTACAGTTATAATTCAGCTAAATACCAAGAACGACGCCTACAAGCTTTTTTACGAACTCGCAGCAATGATGATTATAACGTGTATGCAAGAGCTCGAAATCAAGCTAAAAAAATCTGTCGCACCGCAGTGAAAAACTATACAAATATTTTGCCAAAAATGCAAAAAAGAACCCGAAAGCCTTCTTTTTGTATGCTAGTTCGAAGTGTAAAACAAGCAACGGTATCTCTGATTTTAAAGTAGACCAACGGAAGATATCCTCTGATGAAGTCAAGACAAACGTGCTCAATCAGTTCTTTAGCAGTGTGTTCACAGATGATGACTAGAACAGTATTCCAGCTATTGAGAAGCGCCCAGTATGTTCGAAATAAACAAGTTTTGAAATACATGAATTAGAGATTCTCAAGCGCCTGGTCGCCCTAAATCTCAACTAGTCATGTGGACCAGACGGCTTCCACCCTAGATTGCTCAAAGAATTAGCAACCGACCTGGCCGCCTCTTTGACAGTATCATTTCAAAACCCTTAAACAAAGGAACTGTGCCGACCAATTGGAAAGAAGCTCAAGTAACACCATTGTTAGAGAAAGGTGACCAAAACTTGTCAGTCTGTCAGACTGACAAGTGTTGTTTGTAAGGTAATGGAATGTGTTGTGAGAGATAGGATTATTGATCACTTGACTGTTCACCATCTCCTATCAGACGGTCAACATGCTTTATTGCCGGTAGATCCTGCACTACTAACCTCTTGTCGATTGGACTCGCCTGTTGGACGAAAGGGAGCCAGTGGATGCAGTGTACCTCGATTTTGCCAAAGCATTTTGCAGTGTACCACATTATCGGCTGTTGCGCAAAGTGAAGTCTTTGGGAATAGAGGGAAATGTACTCCAATAGATCAGAGATTCTCTAGTGGGTAGACGACAACGTGTGAGTATTAGCGGAACCGTATCACACTTGGCATCAGTGCGAAGTGGAGTGCCACAAGAAAGCGTTCTTGGGCCTGTTTTGTTCGTTGCTTTTATAAACGATCTGCAAGAAGTAGTATCAAGCGTGTGCTCCATGTATGCCGATGACACAAAAGTTTATAATACAGTGTAGGATGCGTCAAATCAAGTGCAATTGTAAGATGATCTTGACAGTATAGTTAACTGGGCTGATACGTGGCAGCTGCATTTCAATGCTGACAAGTGTAAAGCAATTCACCTCGGGAAGAACAATGAACAACAAGATAGTAATATGAGAAGACATATCAGGCCTATTCTTCAGCGCCGACTTCACTATGCTATGCTGTGCTATGCTATTATGCTGCCACCTCAAAGCTTCACTGATGGGATGGTATTCTTCGGGTGAACCGCTGAGTTCTTCTGTCTCCAAACACGACAGACACAGTTCCGACCTTGATATCTCATCTGACCATGATATTTTATCTTAAAACCTGAAGATTTACTCACGTGCTCTTTAGAAAAGATCCGGCGGTTCTTTACGTACATTTCTTTCAAGCTATAGAGAGGGTTTTTCTTGATGACCGAGAGTGGAATTATCTCTCTCTCGAATTACTGTCCTAATTGTATTCTTTCAAACATTTATCCCACTTGATTTCAAGACTTATTGCAGTTCAGAGTGAGTCAGTCGAGGATTATTATGTACTTTTCGAAGTAAACTCCTAGCTGTACGGTCAGAAATTTTTGAAGGACGTCCTGAACGAGGCTGGCTAGTCGAAAGATGAATAATTCCTTTTACGAACAGTAGGTATCATCAACTTTCTAAACTAGGATATTTAACGAATGAAATTTATCTACATCCCACCACCCACCTATATTTCTATATATTTCTAGACCACCTTCTAATGATGATACCAGGTAATGAATGACTGCAGTTAGAAAGATGTCTATGAGGTTCTTTAGCATTCTAGAATATTCTAACGTTTGCTGATTCTAGAATATTCCTCCAAACATAATGGGTGAGAAATTATTGGCGAATCAACTTCATTTTTTACGATGTGTTGGATACTCTTTGAACCTTGACTTTTATAAAATTGCAATAATCAAGTCAACATTTAATGATAGTGTTGTTTTGATATATTTGTATTTCCCACATAAATTTACATTTGAATAGCGTTTGTTTATGTTATTTTCTTCTATAAGCTTTAATTAAATAAGTTTTTTCCTTTGTTTCGGATACATTTTGCACCCACTGTACATTCACTTGTTTTCTGTGTCGCTTGCATTGCACACAACTCAGACAGAGACTTTATTGAGCTTCATATTAGTTTTTTTCTATCGGTAGTTTAAAAATTGAAATTATTGTAAGTTGGTTAATTATAGGTTTGGTTTTAAGGTTTAGGCAAAACAAGTTGCCTACCCAACAGTTGTCGGTGGATAATATCTAAACAAATGCCTGTGGTAAAAATCCATCATGAGGCTGCACGGCCAATCAGTACACAAGCAAATCTTCAGATATGTACCGTATAGTAATGAAAGTTGGTCATATAGTAGTACCAAATTATGTTAACTGTTTTATTTGCATTGCGTTGCTATCTTTCGCAGATGCAGTGGCTCAATATGGCTTTATTTCGGTCCAGGCTGATGCAAGTGTCGTTGTTGACAAATGCGTGTTTGATTGCCTACCTTTCCCTCGAGCAATTTTTTGTTCATGAATCTTGCAGTCAGATTTTCACTCTGTCTCCATCCCATCACCACTGGAATGAAGCTAATTCAGGTATCCAACTTCCCAGGAACACTGCACCCTATTATTTTGAACAGACTGAATTCTCACAGCAGGTTTCACGCCCCAGGGACGATACAACTGTTAACTCTAACAAGGTGCAGATAAAACAGGAGGTAACCGAACATCTGCATGCGTCCGGCATCTCAAATGGTGCCCCTGATCCTCCTCCGCTTTCCCTCGAGAAGAAAATGTTTCCAGATTTTCGTGGATGTGCCTCTCGTCCGTCGTTGCCAATCCAAAGCCAACACGGCGAGTACTGGATTCTCGAGAATTACATTCCTGCCGATCTGTCCTTCCGATGCGATGAATCTATCACTTACACCACGCACGGGGACTACACCCACCTCGACAACATTGAAACCATCACCTCCAGGTGGCAGGTATGGACCAATGCTTTGCCTTCTTCATCTCTCAAGGCAGTCGGAAACTATCCTTGTACTGCGTAAGAATGAATATTGTGATTAGTTTACTCCTTTTTTCCTCCTCAATGATTTCCACCGAAATTTAATATGTCATAATGAAAAATGGTGTACTTTGCAGTAGTTCAATATACAGCATTCTTAATTCCATGTCAGTTTAGTAAAGATCTTGTCAAATGACGCTTTTTAAATTTCTGGTAGACAAATCAAGAAAATTACTAGAATCGACACAATTTCTTCATAACAGACACTACTATGCTCTACTGTACGAACAGCTACATAACCAGGCTGTTCTACGCAGTCATTCGGAGGCTCTCAGTCCCAGTTGGGTGAACTTCTGCCAATATTCCAGCTGTGCATCCCACTTTATAGTCTCCTGTGGCCTCTCGCAGGCCAGTGTGTCTTTAGCCCTCATCACTGCTCTTTTATCCCCTTCAAATGAAGATATACAAGCTAGTTTCCGTTTTTCATCTAGGAGGGCGATGTGGATGACTAGGATCGTTAAACAAGCAGTAGACCCAGTGGTCTTCGGCTTTTCATCGTCACCTCTAATGATTCTGAATATTCAATAATGACAGCATATGCTTTGTCAACCAAAAAGTTTAGTTCTGCGCTAAAATGCTTCATCCGAATAACTGCAGCTTAAATATTCTAAATAATCTCCGCGATCAATTTTGTCGAACTCTTTCGAAAGTAAACGGATTGAACATCGACATCTGCACCCTCCTCCAGTAGGGCCAGAATATGACGGTGATGCTCCAGTAACTGAGTAAAAACCATTTCGACAGGAATCGTATTTCGAAATATCATATAATTCAGCTCCCTTCATGGAATAAACAAGTATTCTGGCCACGTCCAACTCGAACACCTTGATTAATTTGAAGGCACGGACCTTGGACTGCAATTTTTGATTTAAATACAGTAGGATAAGACGAGATGCGTTCTGCGCTTAATTTGGTTTTTATAGATGCATGGGGATTGGTTAGGGTTGGAGGGGAGGAAGAACCCGTCAGGGCTTTGGAAGGCTTAAACGAAGTAGTGATGGGAGGGCGTGGTTCCTTATAATACCTCATTCATAAGTTCAAATATTATTAAGAAAATATAAATGATACATACTTTCCATTTACATGCATTTCGCTTTTGTTCTTTTATTGTATTTCGTTATTTTAAGCCTATAACTATTCATTTGTTTGTGTAGAGGTATTGAGTGTTGTCCATGCGAATATCGGATATGTTTCTCCTTCTGATAAGAATGATTTTCAAGTGTTCATGTTCGTCCCAATGAGCCATTCGCTTTCGAATGCGTTTGTCAGTCGTATTGCAAATTGTGTCTTAATTGTTTGCAAGAGTGAATTTGTTGTTGCACCAGAGGCTGAGGTAATTTTGCATTATCTTTAGAGAGGACGGGGATCATGGAGGAAGTTATTTGTTCGTAGAGAGTTTTAGACTCCTGCGTCTTGAAATAATTTTCTCGAAATGAACCGGGACAGACGAAACGAGACGAGAAAATTCCGGGAAAAAAATAACGGGACAGAGGGTAAAATTTGTCCCGGAATAAACGTATAAACCGAGACAATACTTCTGTCCCGGAATTTAAAACTTGTGTCCCGGTAAATTATGAACCGGTACGAGACAGACAGATTTGAAACGAGACGAGACGAGATTTGACTTAATAATATAAGACAAAACAAGTTTTTCGATTACGATACGAATCATTTCGAAAACATGAGTTGAAGAATGACAAGTTAGCCCTTTATTGCTAATAGGGCCATACACAGTTACCAGTTAAATTGAGTTAATTGCAGATTTTGCAAAATTTGACTGACTAACTGGCATGGCAGTTAATTAGTGGTCCGACAAACCGCAAACCTGTCGATGCATGCATGGCTGAGTATTGAGTCAAAAATGTTACTCTTAAGTCATAACTAAGGCTTCGATGGCACTTATGGCAACCGTACGAATATGAGTCGAGTTTATTACGCGTTCGGACCGCGTTCAGGCACTGTGGAGCGCATAGGGAGTAGGGACGCAGTGTCTAGATTAGTCGGCCAATTAGTAGACAGTGGAGTGGAGTCCTGGTAAGATATTCCTAATAATACTAAAACTAGTATTAGATTGTCTTTGCCTTAAGTAAAATTATGTGCTACGCCTCCAGGAAATCTTCACAATTGCGCAGTTTCCTAAACTGTTAATAAACGCTTGTTTATCGTTATTTAGAAAGGATACACATGGATATTTCGAGTTCTTTTTTGAAGATCAAACTATTATAATTTTTCCAATTTAAATTTTGTTGTATTTTAAAATGTTGTTGATATAACTTTCCAAATTTTTTGTTGAAGGAGATTGCTTAAGGCAATATCGATGAATCTGATTCTGTGATTGAGCTGGAGGCAAATCAAAGTCTGTCCAGTCAGCCGATGTCACCAGCTACAGCTAGTATGGCCTCCTCCAAACCATCATAGAACACAATTTTTGTAAAAAAACGTGTTTTTCCATTTTTATTTGCCTGTCAAGATTAAGAACCATATTAAACCACAACATGTATTCGTAGCAAAAATCATTTCATTTACCGAGCTCCAATCAGAATAGTAAAAGGATCCGTCTCAAGTTTTTATATAAATGCAGAGGTGAGCAGTAGCGCGCTACATGTAGCGGCCGCTACATTTTCAGTAGCGGTAGCGGCGCTACATATTTAAGTAGCGATACGAGGTTTTGCCGCTACAGCGCTACCGCTATATACATTTATAGATAAAGCCTTTAGATTTTACTTACTAGTATTAAATATTATTTAAAAACAAGCATGATACATACATAATATAAATTACAGAATAAGTACGAAAGATTTCGGTGTTGTCAACCTCAGCCTGTTACTAGTGTCAACATGTTAGTTGTTACCGCCAGAGGTGTGCAGTAGCGCGCTACATGTAGCGGCCGCTACATTTTCGGTAGCGGTAGCGGTGCTACATTTAAGCAATTGTAGCGGTAGCGGTAGCGCTCGCTACATTTAGAGCATGTAGCGGTAGCGGCCGCTAAATTTCAAAGTAGCGCTGCCCAGCTCTGTATAAATGTATGATGGTAAGCCAAAGTTTACACCACATCAATAATTGGTTCGTCTCGTTAAAATGGCTATAAATTCCGGGAAATTTTAAGGTACCTATTTTAACCGGGATGTCTCGTCTCGTCTCGGTATCGTCCCGGAATTCCTACGGAGGGCAGAAAATTGTCCCGGTTTTTATTGCGAACCGGGACAGAGCCTGTTGTCTCGTCTCGGACAAAAAAAAATACCAAGCGCAGGAGTCTAGAGCGTTTTGTCTGTTTGGTGGTTGTTGTCGAGTGTTTGTCCCTGGTTATAAAGGTGTCGTAGGGAATGATGATTATTTGTGGATGGTGTATCTTCAGTCTCACTTTTTCGGTAGTGGAGTACTTCCGACGAATCTGCGTTCTTCCCATAGAGCTTATTGCATCAGTCCGTATTTTTTCTTTCTAAGTTCAACGGCAAACCAAGCGCTGTGTGGCTACAGAGGGATTTCAACGGGATATTTTTTGCTCCTAAATAGTTTAATCGGGATCGGTCAATCAAGTCCGGGTCTAGAGATGAATAGTTCTTTCTACTGTGCGTTGAAGACTTTCCTTTTGTAGGGTCGCGGTCTATATTCCACCCTGCCAAGATTAACTTATATTTAACGTAGAATGGGTCAACAACGACAATGCTTGCTTTCAGCGGGCAGTAGAGCCAATCTGGAATGCTCCTAACCTACATTTGGATCAGAAAAGGCGGCACATCTCAAACAAATATTAAGGGTGACGCACCGATGATTATAGATGGACGTTGTACATTATTGGTGGCGTAACGATGAGTGACCACATCAGTCAACGTGCTTGTTGTGTATACGTAATCCTTAAAATATGTGGAAAATTAAAAGAATGTTGGTCAGTGTGAGAGTGAATCTATATAGGCACTGGATTTGTACCTAACGGAAAAAATGTATCGACTTAATTGAAGAGGTGCCTATCGATAGCTCATCGATGCGCTATCGGTGTCAATAGGTAGTTATCGGTGAAAGAAGAGTTTTTTGGTTATAGTCGATATCGGCAGGTTATCGGTGGCACATATAGGAGTCACGCCATTGGTGCTCCTACTATAGTTTCCATCTATAGCCACCAATATTCATCGGTGCCCACCAATAATCTTATTTGGGACGTGAAAACGATGTCTTTCAGCGGATGTGTACCAGGAATCTCACATTCTTCTCTCATCACCCGCTGACGTACCCGATGCAAGAGCCAATGCGGACGTCGAAGAAGGCGACGAAGATGGTGAAGACAAAGGGACCTCAATGACGATGAAGACTATAAGACATAAATTATATCCAGCAAAAAGTCTGGCTTGCTATTTTACGTAGATTGCTTTTTTATAGAAAATCAACCTATGCCTTCATTGGGCATTGCAATCTTAATTGTCAATTAGATCAAAATACAGGTAACTTACAGATATTATCTAATAAAACGCTCATAATAAAAGTATTAAAGCCTTTTACGGATTGAGCTAATAATAGAATTATATTAAAATGATTCATAAATACTAATAATTGGATTTGTATATACAGTTTTATTGCTGATTTTGGGGACATTTTATAATTCAGAAATATTTTTTACTCAATCGAGAACATACTCATAAATACCAAAATGATCAATATCGGGCAAAAGGAGGTCGATTTTCCCATTAGACATTTTTCATTCTCTGAGGTATTTAGGGCGATTGGTGGAATGAATGACCTGCAAGACTGCATTTTCTGGAATTTTAGGGCGATTGGTGTAGTGGATGACCTGCAAGACTGCATTTTCTGGAGTGGTAACTCCTTCAATGTCGAAGAGTTTAGTTATGAGCGCATGTAACCCAAATAAAAATTAAGAGTGGAGCACCTATGTTTTTATGATGGCTATCAGCTGACGCCATAGGTGGAACGACTGTGATTTATACAGTGAATTAAGAGTGGCGTGCACCATCTATCCCACACCTATAACCTGCCGATGGCCCCCCTACCCCTAAAACTATTCTTCCGCCAATAACTACCCCTGGGCCTATACTTTAAAAAAAATTAAGAGATCGTAAGTTCATCAGCCAAACATTGACGGCCTTCCAAGCAAAATCCACCAATCATAGGCAAGAAAATAGAGCGTAAGTACTTACGTTCACTTAGCTTGTTTTGAAAGTATGGCCCCTAGGCACCAGTGGCGCCTCTTAGTATTCCTTAGTATTTGTTTGGGACATAGCAGTCCCAGGCCACGATGGATCGCCGCCTCTGATTATCGTTCATCCGCCCCCATTTGGGCCACCTGATGCACGATGCTGTTGCTTGCTTCTCGCCGCTGGTAGTGTTGCAGGGAGGGGTCGATCTGAGATTGTGCTCAGGAACACGTCTAGTTGTCTCTTGAAGGTCTCCAGGGTGAACTCCCCCTCTCTTAGATCCCTTGGTAGGGCGTTGAACAGCCTTGGTCCTGCCACAGAGAGTGATCCTTCTCGCAGGGATTGAAATCTGACTGCGGGTCTATTACGTAGGGGGGGGGGGATCTTGCACAGTCTCCCCCTTCTCTCGTTGTGATATGTCTGAATCCTGAAGGTCTCGCTCTCGAAGTTTGGCACCATTCCGGTTATCATTTTCCATGTGTACAGAATGACACACCTCTCCCGTCTCCTCTGCAGTGAGAACAGACTCAGTCGCTGTAACCTCTCCCAGTAGATAAAATTCTCCATCCCTCTGATCCTGGAAGTAAAGGTTCGTTGGAATCCTTCCAGTTGCCGTATTGCGCCTAGTGTGAACGGAGTCCAGAGCTGGCAGCAGTATTCAAGGATAGGTATTACAAGGGCCCTGAAGAGTGTGATCATCGGTTCCGCTTCTCTCGTTCTGAACGTCCGCCAGATCAACCCCATCTGTCGTCTACCTTTTGCGGTTATTGCCGGTATGTGATCACCAAAATTGACCTGATTAGTCATCAACACTCCTAGATCGTGAACGAGTCGCTTCTCTTCGATTTCCGAGTTGTCAGGTGCCCGGTAGCGGTGATCCATTCCAGCTCTTCCGGTTCCTCTGTACCTCAGGACCTCAAACTTGGTCCCGTTGAACTGCATGTTGTTCACTAGGGCCCAGTCATATATTGCAGAGAGGTCTTCTTGTAACCTCTCACTGTCCGTCCTGTCCGTGATTGTCATTAATATCCTGGTGTCGTCCGCGAATGACGATGCAGTGGCGTGGTTATCCCCTGGAAGTTCTTGAATGACTCCAATTTCGTTCTCCTGCCTTGAGTATCGGGGTTCGCTGAATACTTTTTCAAATTGAGCTCCCAGAAGTTCGCACATGCCCTTGTCGTCTCCAACAAGGACATCATTATTTTTCAGAGGCCCCACTGCGGCTCTGATTTTGGCCTTTGACCGGGCATATTTGTAGAAATATTTGGGATTCTTTCGAATGGCAGACACCGCTTGCGCCTCTGCAATTTGTTGCTCGGCCTCGTGTGAGTCCTGCAACTGTCGTTCAGTTTCCTTAATTTTAACCTTTAGATATTCCAGCCTCTGCCTCTCTATATTCCCGGAGGCCATCCGTTATCTGGTTGTTCAAGCTCGCTCGTTTTCTCATAAGGATCCGTCTGTCCCTCGGAATTATGTGGCCTTTGGGGGTCGCCTTTTCCGGCGTGTGACGCACGCATACCTGCAGTAATACTTCGCACAGTTTGTTGTACATTGTTTCGGCGTTTAATTCCAGTAACTCAGATCTCCAGTCAATTTCGAGGAGTTATTTCCCAATGGCCTCCCAGTCTGTTCTTCGATGATGGAAATTTAGCCCAGCTAGCCCCTCTCGAGGTGTAGGTCTAGGCTGGGTTCCCCTCTCAATTGTTGTCTTGACCACCACTAGTCGATGGTCAGACAGTGTGGTCTCCTCAACACGAATATCAGCAACCAGTTCTTCATTGCTGGTGAAGAATAGATCTATGATATTATGTTCTCTTGAGACACTATGAGACACCGATGGCCACCTTTAAAATTAGATCAATAAAAATTTTTAATTTAGTTTCAAATCCGATGCTTTCGTATTTACTGATATTGCTTCATACAATTACCATTCTAATGGCTGCGTATATAAATCCACCAAGACAGTACAAGTAACAATGTCAGACATGTAGCAGGAACAAAGTATCAGAGTACCATACACATACCTTGTGAGAAATCGATTTCAAGAAACTCCCTGCCTGCAAGATTCGAACTCCGTTCTCCCTCACGCGAAGCCAAGCCTCTGCCGTTGAGCCATCGGAGAGGACATGGCGGTCGAGTAATTTTAGAAGATTTAACTGAAGTATTGCAATTATTAATTTCATCAAATGAGAGAAGTTAATGCTACCACCGTGATGATTAGATGGTTCCATCAACAATTTTATTCGAACATGCTGCTACATTCGAGTAAACATCCGCTGAAAGAAGCTTCATTTATCCATAACGAACGATGTTCAGTTCAGATTAAAGGCTACGGGAAAATGCTTTATAAGTATAGAAGTATCATAATACCAACATTACACCAATTTAACAGCGGTTTGATTCAATATATTTTCACCAAGAATATTCTGACGTGAAATAAGGAATTGATTTTACACGATTATTTTGAAAAGTCAGGAATGAAATACCTGCACCACTTCTAGTCACTACAGTATTTTTCTCTAGCCTAATCATTAGTCTTTTGCGTATGAAAGATACCGGGGCCTCTTTCTTAGAAATTTAGACGTAAAATCTAAATAATTATCTGACTGTATATTAAATTTCACAATCGAAGTCAGGATGGCTAACCGAGTTTTTACTCGTATCCTCTGCGTAAAAAGGATACTTTTGTTACAAGCAAATTACCCGGGAAGAACATGTTTCAAGCAGGACAAGGTAAAGATTAGTAGGTAGCTCAACTCCGACGCGCGTCAAGCCAACCGTTATGAACGTGTGCTTACCTTACTGGACTCGTTGTCTGCCCTTGATGCCTAGCCGTTGTGCTTTACAAAAAAGATGAGCCGCTGTCGACTACGTCAACGTGGCTTTTGAGTTTAGATAAATGGGGCAACTTGAGAATATTGTAATTATAATGTAACACTTTATTGATCCATATAATTTATACTTAATGATACAATAATTAGTCTTAATTGATCGCAATACTTCCAACACAGCCAGTTGGCGCATACGCATAATTCACAATAAATTTACGCAATATTTCAGGTGAACATGGAAAATTGGATTCGCCGTCATCTATGGAAAAACTGTATTTATTGCAACAAAATTTTTTCATTGTTGATCGGACAATTTATATCGGGAACAGTCTGATACATGGCCAGTGGCTTCACTTTGGTTTGACAATTTTGTGGTCACCTTGCTTCTCTCTGTCAGTTTCATTGGTACCTGCCTAATTCACGCTAAATTTTCTTGATATAACTTAATCTTAAAAGCCAAGCACACAAAATGAAGTCATTGTTTCGTCTTGATCTCGAATGACCCGCAACCCAAGAACACCTTTCTACGTTGGATAAACTACAGGGGCAAATACCTTCGTGCATAGTGTAGGCAAACGTTTTTCAGTGGTTTAAAAGAGATTTGCTTTCAATGCGCTATCGATTATTCAGACCCTATAAATCAGCGATGATTTATAGATGACTGCCACCTTAACTCGCCATCCTCTCGATTTATTGATGCTTTATTGACGATTTTTGGCAAATCTGGCCACCCACCGTTACGCCACCTACAAACTACTACCGCCACTTATAATCATCGGTGCGCCACCCTTAATTTTTATTTGGGAATGTTATTCTCAAAAGCGTTTACGCGAACCCATATTACTGACTCGTCTAATTTCCCAAAACAGATCAACTTTTCATTTTTTCTTGTAGGACATTGTAGGACTACCGCTAAAACTAATGATTGTAAAATTTTCTGTACGCAGGGTCCAGTGAGCATTGGCCTATATGCTCCTGGAGGCGACTTCAACATAACCACATCATCCATCATGTACCTCAGAGACTGCAGGACAGAGAGCATCAGGAAATATGTGACTTTCCACCTTATCTATCACACAGATCACATCCCTGAGAAGGTCAGAAAATAATTCTCGGCAAGCCAGTTTTTTGTTATCATAGTGAATCTCAAGTAAATAAATGTGAATTAAAGACTGTCACATTTAAAATATTACATTACACATGATGCTCAAGTCTTATTTTGAAATTTGAAATAGGTTTCGACTTACTGCGATGGCTTTTTTCTAGACACTATACGAGTGCCTAGATATAGACACTCGTATAGACCGTAATTCATCCTAATCATTATACGAGTGATCTATATATATATACAAGTATTACGGTATCTGCACAACTCTTGACGTACCTCCACTAGTTCTACTTCTCTAATTTTTGACGTAATTTTTGCTCCTGCTGACTATAACTAATAATTACAGATACCGACGACGGAGGAGTTAATGGGCCAAAAGATGAACTGTAGTGTAGACCCGCCCAATTGGATGAACGTCACATCGTATCGACGTCAGAAGGGACTTGTATACCCCATCAATGTTGCAAGGAACGTTGCCCGCAGGATGGCAACCACATACTTCGTCTTCCCTTCAGACATCGAGCTTTACCCTTCCGTGAATTTTATTCCAGGTAATTATTTATCACCAATTGGGATTTGTGTTACATTTTCTTTATTAATTGCGTGCCTTTCTAAAGATGGTCTGATGTTCTTTCGTTTCATTGAAACTTTGCGTTATTGTTACTAACGTGTAAAATGTATCAGTCAGGAAAATAATAATTTAATTTGTTTTTATTGAAGTAGTTTCGCATTTGCATCCGATAAATCCCGTTGTTTATGAGAACAGGTGGCATCTTCCCTTAAATGCATTCCAGGTTCGTCATGATCTCACCGATTTTTGTGAACTCATTAGTTCTATATTTGCTGAATTTCATCCTAATCATTGATCACAGTTTATTTCAACGGCCACTTAATGCTATCATAATAACCGTATTAAATGCAAAATCAAATCATAAAAAAGTAGCCGAGCACAACATTAAATTTTTCCCCTCGCTTAAAATGCCATATTCTCAGGTAACGTATTTTATAACTTACTGAACAGAATTTCTCGAAATGCTAAAGAAACCTGACGTGTCGAACACGACTCAGCCACGGGTGTATGTGTTCCCCATCTTCGAAGTGGAAGAAAGCTCGCTTCCACCCAAGACCAAAGAGGAACTCATCAAGATGCTTGACAGCAAACACGCAATCCCATTCCACGAGCGAGTCTGTAAACCCTGTCACAATATCCCCCATTCCGAGGTGAGTCTCGAAGCTAGCGACCACAAGTCATCGGCCTTCATCCTAAGTTCAGTTTCTGCTCCATGTGTCGCAGCAGCACTTACCTGACGTTGGTTTCACTTATTTTAGGTTGTTTTCTATTTAATATAAATCGTACGACCAATTTAAAGGCTCATATGAGGTAGGACAAGAATAACGATTTTCATTCAGTTACTTCTTCAGTCTGAGTACCGAACCCTGTATAAACAAGTTATACAGTGTAACATGTATAAATACAATTGGAATTACATATTATTATAAGCATATTACTCAAATTAATTTCGTTTGTGATATCAGAAAATAAAATACTCGCGTTCTTGTGACAAAGCTCATGAACTCGGAAACAAATACACTTGAAGTCGGAATGAGGTTGACAACACTGTTGTGTTCAAGGTGGTGACATTCACCTTAAGACATAAATCTAATTTCGATATTTAATTCTAACCTTAAATAGTTCTTTATAATTATTTTAGAACCTTAAACCTAGATGAGACAACTCTGCGCAATAGTCATTATTTAAAATTCATAAAGTGACTCTCTGTGCTAAATGCGACAACATTCATTATTCAAAGTTGGGTGTCTGCATCAGCTACCAGATCACCACCCTCCATTCTAAGGTTGGGTTCTATCCCATGCAGTTTCAAGATTACCTCTTATCCTGAATCCGTTTATTTCTCTGCACAGTAATTACCTGCATAGTAATTTAGACACACACAGTAATTGTAAGGGTGCGTCTAAAGTTTATTCTGGGATTCTTATGATTTTTTATAATTGAACACATATTTTAAAGATAAGACTCGCACTGATCAAGCGCCACCCAGATTCATGTATCACGCCAAATCCAAATGTTTTCCCAGAAATTACTTGGAATACTGTTGGGTTTGGTTCGGGCTGCGATTTAAATATTATCGGCGAAGCATTCTTCGAATGTCAGAATGACTTCAGTAGTATAGGAGTGAGCCTATCACAACAGCTTGTCTAAACAGCCTTTACAGGGTTCCGATCATTTACCCATAATTTTAATTCCGAAAACCTGGTCATTTACTCACATTCTTACCCCGAATATTACCCATCAAAATTGACCGATTACTCCCGAATAAAACCTGGTCATTTACCCACAATTGTATTTAGAATCTTGACCATAAAAAATTTGAGCACTGCATATTCCGATCAAAAACCTGACCATTTACCCCGAATCTTGACCATCAAAATCATGGGTTGACGACCATTTACCCCGATTGACCGAGCACTTTTTAACCGAGAACTCAGGGCTTAACATAAGCGGGTGTCGGAAAAATACTTCAGTGGGATATATAATTGGTTTAAATATTTGAAATACTTTCCAGAACCTGGATGATAATGACACATATTGCTTACAGACAGCGCTGCCACTATACTGATACACTTCTCGAGTGAGACATGAAAGGAATATATAGCTGCCCCAAGCCAGCGCTGGCGTAATATGCACGGCTGAGCGTTGTAAATGCGAGTAGACACGCAACACATCCGTCTGATAGACGCTCACTAGGCTTTCAACACCGTTAACAAGGCTAACGCATCACTTTCATTGAGGCCATAATAGTTGTTCTTATTATTTTATCCGCTCATATAAGACGAGCCGTGGTTTGCGAGATTTTCATGCACAGATCGAAACAAATAGCAAAACAATATCACGATGTGAGAGTCGATGAATAGCCCTGGTCAATTGACTACATAAACCCAGTAATTTATATCAAACTCCTATTTACGCCCGACAACTCAGCCATCTTCCAGTCTAATATATTGATCTAGGCGAATCATATTTTAATTCAGTGCAACATTTAACTGCAAAAGTATTGCTTAAATCATAGTAATATACAACTAGTCATTGATTTTTACTAGTCATTGAACTAGTCATTGAAAATTGAAATGCATTCTCCGGTCATTAATCGCACACCTTTATATATGTATTTCATTCAATGTTGGTGTGATTACATTAGTTCCAAGTTGGTAAATAACTAAACATTCAACATACTAGCTAAACATTCTCAGTTAAAAGAGTGCATGCATGATCGACCGTGGGTAAATGATCGTTTACAAAATTTTGATTGTCAAGATCGGAGTGAGATTGTGGGTAAATGGTCGGGTTTTTTTTTTTTTTGATCGGATGACAGTGTTCAAATTTTTGATGACCAAGATTCAAAATAAAATTGTGGTTAAAATGACCCGGTTTTAATCATGGGTAATTGGTCAATTTTTATGGTCAAGATTGGAAACAAGATTGTGGGTAAATGATGGGTAACCTATGATTTAAGCAAACTGTAGTAATAGGTTTACTTTAGTAACTAGTACTTTACATATCTAATAATTTTGCAGGAGTGGCGGGTGGCCACAGTGAAGCCAGGGCTGTCGGTATTGAACGTGAGCAGGCGTGAAGGTGCGTTTAAGCATTGGGAGCCCTTTTACGTAGGGACACACCGTGAACCTCTGCATGACGAACGCCTCTCGTGGGAGGGCAAGAGCAACAAGATGACTCAGGTTAGCCATGTTCTTGAGGGTGTTTTTATCAGCTTCTAAATGTTCTTAGTGGCTTTCAAGTATTTCGAATATGTTTCTTACTGGTCTTCTGGTAATTCGGGCAATTTCTTGATAAAGTTCAGGCAGATCTCATGTTATTAGTTCAGGCAGGTCAAGCATGCTCGTAGTGACGTTCAGGCTGGAGAGTCATATTCACAGACGCATGCAGTTAAAGAGGAGTCTTGAGATGAACAGCAATCAATCACGAGCAAATGACTCATGATTTAGTGACTAATTTCATCTGAATTTGCATTTTTCTTATCTATTGGTAACATGACAAAATGCACGCTGAGTTATAGGCCCATCAATCATAAGTCTGCTAGGCTCATTCATCAATTAAATTTTTAATTTGAATTCTATATTACGATCTCTGAAATAATTTTCATTGGAAAATAGCGAGCATAAAAATCATTCATCAGTAAATTTCGTCCCAAAGGAAATGACTTGTAGAGGTGTAGCTCTGTGGGTTAAACCTTTTATGGGGCCCAACAAGTTAATTAAGTTATCAGCAGAGCACCAATCAGCTAGAGAATCAGTGTGGTGTGAGCTTTCTCTAAAAAGCTGGGATAGCCTCCTAATAGGTGTCCTGTATAGATCACCCAACAGTTCCTCTGATAACGATAAAGTACTGAACAGTTTTCTACCAAGCATGACTTTCAGCAGGTCGCATATGTTAATCGTTGGTGGCTTTAACCATCCAGAAATAGACTGGGCACATGAATCCTCCCCAAGGGATGAGAATCACCCTTCATCCTTGTTCATGGAGTCTGTGAGAGACTCATTTTTATACCAGCACATCACAAAGCCAACCCATTTTAGAGGAAATAAGACTCCAAATACTCTAGACCTAGTGTTTACTAGTGAAGAATCAATGGTAGAAGAGCTTCGCCACGAGGCTCCGTTGGGCAAAAGTCACCACCAGTCATTGTTTTTCAGTATTAAGTGCTATACCGAAAAGACGCTTCGGAAGCGTGAACGTTTCAACGTTGCGAAAGGCGACTATGTTAAACTTCGTGAATCAGTGAGTGCAGCGAACATTTCGGACTGTATTATGAACATGAATGTGGCAGAGTCGTTATCATTCATCAAGAAAATGGTTATGTCTGCAGTTGATGCGTGTGTACCTAAGATAAAGCTCGGTGGAGTCAGAAAAATACAGTGGATGAACAATACGGATAAAGCAAAGCTAAAGGCAAAGAAGGAAGCCTACAAGCGTTATTTACGAACTCGTAGCGATGCTGAGTATAACCTGTATGCAAGAGCTCGAAATCAAGCTAAAAAAGCTTGTCGCACCGCAGTCAAAATTTTTGAAAAAAACGTTGCCAAAAACTCGAAAAAGAACCCGAAAGCCTTCTTCTTGTATGCTAGTTCGAAGTGTAAGACAAGGGACGGTATTGCTGATGAAAGTCAACGGAAGATATCTTCTGAGGAGGGCAAGGCCACTGTTCTAAATCAGTTCTTTAGCAGCGTCTTCACAGAAAAGGACTTGAACAGTATTCCAGCTATTGAGGAGCGACCAGTGGGCTCAAAGTTAGCTAGTTTTGAGATACATGAAGAGGAGGATCTCCAGCGCTTGGTCTCCCTGAATCCCAACAAGTCATCTGGATCAGACGGTTTCCACAATAGATTACTCAACGAATTAGCAACCGTCCTGGCCGGCCCTTTAACAGTATTCTTTCGAAAAACCTTGATCGAAGGGACTTTGCCGGCCGACTGGAAAGAAGCCCAAGTGACACTCCTGTTCAAAAAAAGTGACAGAAGTAACCCCGGTAACTACCGTCCTGTAAGTCTCACAAGTGTTGCGTGTAAGGTGATGGAATCAGTTATGAGGGATAGGATTATCGATCACTTGACTGTTAACCATCTTCTATCAGACTGTCAGCATGGCTTTATTGCTGGCAGATCATGCACCACTAATCTCCTGTCTACCTTGAATAATTGGACTTGCCTGCTGGACGAGAGGGAGCCAGTGGATGCACTGTACCTCGATTTTGTAAAGGCATTTGATAGTGTTCCGCATGAGCGACTGTTACGTAAAGTGAATTCTTTGGGAATAGAGGGAAATGTACTCCAATGGATCAGGAATTTCCTAGTAGGCAGTAGACAACGTGTCAGCATTAACGGATCCGTATCAGACTGGCTAATTGTGCGCAGTGGCGTACCGCAAGGAAGCATTCTCGGGCCTGTTTTGTTTGTCGCTTTTATAAACGATCTATCAGAAGTAGTGTCAAGCGTGTGCTCCATGTATGCCGATGACACAAAAGTTTATAATACAGTTAAGGATGCGTCAAATAAAAGGCAACTGCAAAATGATCTTGATAGTTTAGTTGACTGGCCTGATGCGTGGCAGCTGCATTTCAATGCTGACAAGTGTAAAGTACTTCATCTCGGCAAGAACAATGAACAGCAAGCTTACAGCATGAGAAGACACGATTACAACGAGAGGGTTATGTTTGAGAAGTCTTGCGTGGAAAAAGATCTTGGAGTTTGGGTCGACAAGGAGCTAAAATTTTCTAGGCATATTGAAACACAAGTTAATCAATCAAATAAACTGCTTGGGCTGATCGACGATCCTACGAGTACCTAAATATAGAAATGATGAAGCTGTTGTTCACCTCTGTCGTGCGCCCGAACCTAGAGTTTGGAAACGTTGTGTGGTCACCGAGACTTGAAAAGGACAGAAATTTAGTTGAGAGTGTTCAAAAACGTGCAACAAGGATAATTCCAGGCTTAAAGGGCAAGTCTTATGAAGAAAGATTGACGAGTATGAAGCTTCCCAGTCTCCGTTATCGTCGCCTGCGTGGTGACCTCATTGAAGTATACAAGTATGCTCGTGGTTTGTACAAGGTCCCGGAAGGAATACTAGAATTTGAAACAAGAACTAACGCCAGGGGCCACAGCTATAAAATAAAAAAAACTGTACAACTTATCCACGCGACAACATTTCTTCTCGCTTCGAGTCACTGACATGTGGAACAGCCTCCCTGTCAGTCCCTGAAGATATTGTTGACGCTCCGAGTATGAACGCGTGCAAGAACAGACTAAACAAGGCCATGCAGGAGCATATGTTTAGTCTTAAAATGCCTCGTATCCTACGGAACAACCGAAATCTAGAAGCGATTTTAAATCTAACGTCAGTTGAAAAGATTTGATCAAAAGGCCAGTCTAGCCAAGAAAAGTACAAGAATCGGCGACAGGCCTATTCTTTCCAGCCCTATTCATCAATGCCGAAGTTACTATACTATACTAAATAGCGACTACGCTGTGATTTTCATACACACATATGTGATAATCTGCACAATGAAAAAGAACACTCACACTGAGCTCACCTTGGTTAGCTTGCGAAATTAGCATTTGTGTGAGAGGGGATCGGACTCATCTATCTTAGAGAAGATTTTATTCACTCTCCTTAATACCACGTTCACATATACTACAGTGAGTGCAAAAAGTATCCGACACAAAGGGAAACCTTTATCTAATCGAAGTTCATTCAACAAAATAATAAAAAAACACTATATCAATGTAAATTTAAATAGAAAATACAACTTTTCATTAAATGTTGACTGTAATATTGCAATTTTGTAAAAGTCAAGGTTCAAGGAGTATCCAACAAATAGTAAGCAAATTTATCCAATACATCGTCATGTGACCTTCAGCAACCAAAACTGCTTCTAACCGACTGGAATGCTTATTCACAAGATTTACACTTATGCTAATAGGAATTAAAACCCACTCTTTCATGCATATTTCCTTCAAGTGGATGAGATTTCTTGGATCTCTCCTGTACCCCCAATTTCAATTCTCGCCACATATTTTCAATCGGTTTGAAGTCAGGTGATTGGCTTGACCATTCCAGTAACTCAATGTCCCTCTCCTGATACCATGCAGGAGTTGTGCTTAGGGTCATTGTCTTGTTAGAATATCCAACCTCGAGGAAGGTTCAATTTTTCGGCTGACTTCGCGAGACATCTCTCAAGAATGCCCCGATACATTTCGGAGTTCATCCTTCCTTCTATGATTTCCAATTTTCCAGGGCCTGCAGAAGAGAAACAACCATAAAGCCTTATTTTGCCACCTCCAAACTTCACTGTTGGGACGGTATTCTTCGGGCGAAACGCAGAGTCGATCCCGACAGATAGAGGATTCCACTCTTGGTCACCAAGAAAATTCCCTCTCGTGAAGGGAATTCACGTAAAGAACCGTCGGAACTTTGCTGATGAACGCGTGTGTAAACATTCAAAATTTTGGGATAAATTATTATGGTCAGATAAGATTATAAAATTGGGTTATTCAATTTGAACTGTGCCAGTCGTGTTTAGAGAAAGAAGAACTCTGCGTTTCACCCGAATAATACCGTCCCGACAGTGAAGTTTGGAGGTGGCAGAATAATGCTCTGGAGTTGTTTCTCTTCTACAGGCCTTGGGAAATTGGAAATCATAGAAGGAAGGATGAACTTAATATAGAATATATAGGGGCATTCTTGAGAGACGTCTCGTGAATTCAGCCGAAAAAGTGTTCCTTCCTTCAATTCGAAGGAAGTTGGATATTTCAACAAGACAATGACCCAAAGCACAAGGCTCTTACATGGTTTCAGGAGAGGGACATTGAGTTATTGGAATGGCCAAGCCAATCACCTGACCTCGATCCGATTGAAAATCTGTGGCGGGAATTGAAACTGAGGGTACAGGAGAGAAATCCAAGAAATTTTATCCAACTGAATAAAAGATGCAAGGAAGAGTGGGCTAAAAGTCCTATCAGCATAAGTGCTAATCCTGTGGAGAAGTATTCCAATCGGTTAGAAGCAGTTTTGGCTGCTAAAGGTCACATGGCGAAGTATTGAGGAAATTTGTTTACTATGTGTTGGATACTTCTTAAACACCTTGTCTTTTACGAAATTACAATTATCAAGTCAACATTAAAGGATGTTGTTATTTTGATATGAAATTTAAATTTATCATGTAAATTTACATTATAATAGTGTTTGTTTAAGGAATTTTTTTGAATGAGCTTTAAATAAAAATAAAATAAAAAATTCCTTTTTAAATAAAATTTTTCCTTTGTGTTGCAAACTTTTTGCACTCACTGTACTTTGTTCAATCAAAGTCGTTTGTGCAGGCGTACATCCTCTGCGTACGGGGCTACGAGTTCCATATCCTCGACAACGCCTTCCTGGTGCATCGGCCGGGCATCAAGAAGTATCATCGGTATGACGCGTCTCGAGAAGCAATCGTGGCCAAGCAGACTCGACTCCTCAAAGGCCATATTTTGCCCGAGTATAAAGTGCTCTTCGGGACTAAATCGGAATGCGTACTCTAACCGCAAACTTTTCTTGCAGAGTGGTCACTCCATTATTAAACGATTCTTGCTCAGAAGAGATTGCAGTAATTGTTTCATTGAAATGTAGACGGTGTTTTCGAGGAACTCTCTTATTGTGATGGATAAAATTTGCCAAATATCATGCCCAATGATTTGACGGAATCATATAAATTTTCAAGTTTCAACATCGAGTGCGTGCTTATATTTTAGCAAAAATGCGAGAAACTTTTAAAGGTTCTGAATAGTTGACGTCGTATAGCATAGTTAGTTTTTGAGGAAAATATATTAAACTTTTCTTACAGAACTATTCTTTACGTGAAATTTTGAACAAGAAATTCAAATTTGTATTATGATACGAACCATAAAAATAGTACATTTCAACTTCTAAGTTTGTTGAAAAAACGTGGACGACTGGGGGTTAAATATAGCGAAAATCATTAATTAACCGTTGATCTGAAGGCTGCGGAGAGGATTACAATGCCAGTGGCTACCAACGAGCACACTGCCCGAGTTATGGAGCACACATCCCCTATTCTTCGAAAATCGATTTCCCTACATTTTAAAAAAATGTATAAAAAAAATTTTAAAGACCACGTTTTTCATGTGGACTCAAAAGTATAAAATAATTTTTCGGCAGCTACTGATCTCTGTTTGCTTTCATTCTCTTGGTCTTTTGTATTTCAGTTAAAATATTTTACAACATCTAAAACGAAAAAATCGGAATGCGTACTCTAACCGCAAACTTTTCTTGCAGAGTGGTCACTCCATTATTAAACGATTCTTGCTCAGAAGAGATTGCAGTAATTGTTTAACTGTAATGTAGACGGTGTTTTCGAGCAATTCTCTTATTGTGAAGGGTAAAATTCGCCAAATATCATTCCCAATGATTTGACGGAAGCATAGAAATGTTCAAGTTTCAACAATGAGTGCGTGCTTATATTTTAGCAAAAATACGAGAAACTTTTAAAGGTTCTGAATAGTTGACGTCGTATAGCATAGTTAGTTTTTGAGGAAAATATATTAAACTTTTCTTACAGAACAATTCTTTACGTGAGATTTTGAACAAGAAATCCAAATTTGTATTATGATACGAAACTCTAAAAATAGTTCATTTCAACTTCTAAGTTTGTTGAAAAAACATGGACAAGTGGGGTTAAATATAGCGAGAATCATTGGATATGATTTATTAATTAACCGTTGATCTGAAGGATGCGGAGAGGATTACAATGCCAGTGGCTACCAACGAGCGCACCTCCCGAGTTATGGAGCACACGCCTCATATTCTTTGAAAATCGATTTCCCTGCATTTTTTAAATAAATAAATACTCGTTTTGCGATAAAAATGTAAACATTGGTTGAAATCAAAGATTTTAGGAAGATGTCCTAGCTGAAGTTTACAAGCAATAAGATTCCGAGAAATGGTAAGATGCTCATCAGATATAGTATTCAATGCATAAAACAGAGATAGGATTACCAATTTTCTTCGGTTTAAATATAGGCTTATAGCCATCGCCGGCTATAGGGTCTACGTAGAGACGCAACATAGCATAAATGTTCGCATGAGAGATGATATCACCTGCCGCGGAGCCGCGCTATTTAACCTCTGACGGGCTCTGTCCTAAGGACACGCAGCTCGCTGCTTCTTCGGCTCAAACCAGCTCACCACCCGCAATAGGGCGGCTCTGGCAGAGCACCCGGCAGTAGAGTTGGACCGTTTGTTGACTACGCGACAACGAATTTAAATTATTTTTTTTCTTCCTTGCGTCGAGATAACCGACTCATTACTCTTAACAATGACAAGTTAGATCAGATAGTATCCGCTGTCGAACATTCACGTCGTCTTACACTTGCGATATAAAATGCATACCAAAAAATTCAATTATTAGGGAGGCAGAAAGGCTTCAATTAACTTACCGCTAAGTGCTCCCACCGGATAAACGCCAATGGAAGCTCCGAGATTCATACACCTGGTGTCTCGCTCCCGATGTTCACGCCTTAACCAACTTGACTACCAAGACACATTACTACATGAGCTCTATCCATTAAATAACTACAAAACGAATGACTTGCTATCGTCCGGTAAATCGAAATATAGCCATATTTGAGAAGGAAGTGTTCTGAGACGATTCATTTATATTTCATTTGAAGAAATAAACGCAGCTGCTATTCAATCGAAAAAAAGAATGAGTCACAATAATCGTGATAATTATCGCTCATTAATGGAGGCTCATGATTTTCGTCCAAGCAAAATGCCGTTATTTCCGTCTTTTCTCAAATAACTCACAAGTTAGTTCTCTAGTTTATAAACATTTTATAATAGAGCAAAATTTACATTGCAATTTATTTCTGATTACTTTCATTTACTAAATCAGCCACATCTAGAAATTGAGGCAAATTTTTTATGATTAATGGAAAACCCTAACGCAGCACTATGAAAACGGTTTGAATATAAACTATGAGGGATTTTACGATGGTAGCGTTTTAAATAAAAATATTAATACGTTTTGAAGCAGCTTCTCCTTACGACTCTCAGTCGATAGCAGGAGATGTATATAATTTAATAAGATGCAAGTAAAATCAACAACATTTCTGTACACACGCGTTAAAAAAAATTTTCAGGACGAATTGATCGATTTTTTCTGACAGTTATTAAAGCATAGTTGTGCCTAAATGTTTCTCTTTGCGGAAGGACTCAAATTGGGAAAGCAAATGAAAAACTTATTCGAAAGTTTTAAAATAATGACGCGGTATATTAATCATAACTGGAATAAAAAATTGACTCGAAATGGCGTATTAGGTCACTTGAACTAGATTAGGAAGGTAGATGCCTACCTCGTCTCCAACTCTTACCCGCCTCCATCTCTCAACCCCCCCCCCCTCATGCAATGTAGGTCCTGAACAACTGCTTGGTTCAGGGCCCTGTCTCCCATGCCAGGCGACAGCGCCATAACAACGCCGTATTCCGGGCTGTTGAAGTTTTCCTATATATTAGCCATGACGCAGAGCTGCTTTGAAGACAACTGGCCGGTTACTATTACATGGCTCCGTCCGGTTTAAGCGCGGCAGGCTCTGTAAGCCCTACGCCAGTATCGTCTCACAATTTTAACTGGGACACTCCTCGTGCTTTATCCGGAGTCCCGACTGTGTCCACCGTCATTCCTCAAACGTCAACTACAGTTCATCGTGGCCTCTTCAAATTCCACATGTGAGCCCCCACCAGTACTCGATCGCTCCACAGTTCTCATCTGGCTTATGAAAATTACATAATTAGGCCAGATAAATATAATAGAGATGCAGTTGGTGGGAACCGTCTTGGTGTAGAGATGTAGTGAAGATGTCGCCGACAAAGTGAGATGACCGTCGCATGTGTGCTCGCTCCGAGATGGTTTTAGTTACCGGCATTTAGTTAGAATTCAAATGGGAAATCCATTAGATTCTGTAAGGAACCGATTGAGCTGAAAAAAAAGACTAATTGAAGTTAAGATTACGTAAACCTCCAGTTTTCTAAAAAGTTTGGGATCATTTATTCAAAATTAATTAAATTGGAATTTATTTCTGGAACACTTATGTTCGGTTTGTTGATTTAGACAAAAATTTAAGCTTGAGCATTTATTTCGCATCGACGGAGCATTTATTGCGACTCCAGTTTCTGCTGCAACTGTAACCTACTGCAGACCATGCTTCCTAAAAACCCTTCATAAATAACGTAGTCTTAACTCGTAGTCTGCAATAACAATTGCACACTAAGGCTCCGCCGATGGCCACCTCCCACAATGAATTAACAAATGCACCCAATATCATCCATAAGCGATATAAATGATCGGTCGAGAATTTATAGAACATTTATTAATGCCACTCGACTGCTTGTATCGCAAATTTTCTAAATAAATAATAGTGAAGAAAATAACACAAAAATTTACCGTATATTTGTGGAAAGTGCTTCGTAGTCCAGCTCCATCGTAAGCTCGAAAATTCTTGAACAAAAAAATTGTTAAAATCGGACGTCTCGAACAAATTTACGGCCGGGATTGCGGCCGGTCTCACGGCCAATCTCCAAAGTTGGTGCACAAGGAATATCTCCCGAAGTAATGAACGTAGCTCGATGAAACTTGTTACACGTATTGATTAAAACCTAACATGATGTTTAGCTCGTAATTTCTTTTAATTTTGCCTTAATTCGTGAGCTATATGGAGATTCGGATCAAAATTCGCATTGAACAAGAAATTTCTTCCAATGTACTGAACAGATTTGAACGAAATTTTGAATATGTATTCTAAAATATCATACGGTGATGTTTAATTATTATACCATGCGCATACGGCTCTTGGTCAATGCAAATTTAGAAATCAGCCTAAAAAAGGCCAGTTGTTTCTTCGTATATCCATATAACTCGCGAACGAAGGAAAATCGAAAAAAACTCACGAGCTAAACATCAAAACATCACCGTTGAGAGGTTATGTAGTCATATACAAATTTTCGATCAAATCTGATCAGTAATTTAGAAGAAATTTCTCGTTCACTGGCAATTTAGGCACGTATTGCTGTTTAAATCAGGAATGAGGGTGAAATAGAAAAATTCGCGAACGAAGGCAAAAAAAAATTCAAGAGTTAAACATCACCGTTTTATAGTGCACCGAAACATCACCGAAGCATGTATATTCAAAATATCATTCCAATCTGTTTTGTACTTCGGAAGAAATGTCCTGTTCAGAAATTTTTTTACTAATATACCCCTGCGTGAAACAGTTGAAATTTGCCTAAATTCTCTGTTCAAAGATATTAATGATCTTGTGATTGGTTTAAACCGTAAATTTTTCAAATCTCTTTTAGAATTATCAGTTCTTAACTCGTTTTTCATATTTGCTGGCAAGTTTTATAGACAGATTGACGTTTAGGCATGAGACTACCGCTTGCCCAATCTTTGCAAATATTTTTATACGTTTTACTAGGTTTCTTGGCTGTCCAATTGTTCTCTTGATTTTAAGTCAATATTCTATAACAGATACATCGATGGCACCTTTTTAATTTTCAAACATCCTTCTCATGTCAAACCATTCTTTGATTATGTAAACTCGTAACATAATTCTATCAAATTTACTATGGAGCTTGAATCTAACAATAGTTTTTCCCTCCTCAATTGCTATTATACAATATCTAAAAGCCGTTTTCTGACTTACATGTTCCGAAAACTGACATTCACAGGCAAAAGTACCAGTTTCTTTAGATTTTGCTCATTCCGGTTCAAGTTGATTGGGCTTCAAACATTATTACACAGAGATTTTCGCATTTGTTCTACATACCATGCTATGCATGCTGAATTTGAATTTTTACTCAATATTTTCTCGCTTAATGGATTTCCGGCAGGTTTGGTGTTTACCCAAATCAAGAAAATCATGTCGAAGCGATACAG